TAAGGACAATGGTTATAATACTAGCACTGAATCTACTAGTGTATCTACCAATTGTTGGGCTATCAGTAACAATAGCCGTAGGACCAATGCCTTATAAAATTGTTTATTCGCAATATTTTGGGTTTTTGATAACATTAAACTCATCTTTGAATCCATTGTTTTATCTCTGGCGAATGAAAGACCTTCGCACGGCAGTGATGGCTAAACTGGACCAGCTACGACGTTGCTGTAAATCGCGTTGGGACTGAATATATGGTTTTCAATTATTTCAGAATAAAAACGTTTGAGTGCACTTTTAATCCAGAGTTTTATGATAAGCACCGTTTACCTGGCATTTTTTGCTGCAATTTTTTGGGGCGATTTTTAAAAATAAAATGGATTTTGTCTTGTCCTTCTGAGACGGTCCGTTAGCTCATTTCAGTATACTGAATAAAAGTTTACAAGTTAATTCTTTACCATTATTCTCTAGAGTCAAAATGACCAAAAAATCGCCGCAAAAATCGCCAGTGTTAACGAGTCTATAAAAGATTGAAGAGCAGTGAAAACTACTAAATTGCATGCATTGGCTGAAACGTTTTTTAGAAAAGAGTACTTGGAACGAAACAAGATGTTCTCTTAGTGAAATATTAATGTGACAAACAAGAGCTCCGAGCTCTTGCCCTACGAGTACACAAAAGAATCAGGTGAAGAATTATGACAGAAAGCCTTCAGTAGCTTCTTGTTAAAGTGCTTGCACACTTTTAAAAGTCATGTAAACAACTTCAAGGACAAGTAGTGTTGACTTTTCATTAAACAAACTTTTTTCACACAATATTTTTGGCTTAATTGTAATTGGTAGCAAAATTAAAATGACATTTTCTTCGCCCTTGTATTTCTAAGTGCCATCCTTGATGTTGTTGTTGTTGTTGTTGTTGCTGAAACTGTCATTATTGGTGGTGTTGTCAGTTAATCTTGGGCGAATCTTGCTAAATTTATGTCGCCATCCTTGATGTTTTTGTTGTTGCTGAAGCTGTCGTTGTTGGTGTTGTTGTTAGTTAGACTTGGGCGAATCTTGCTAAATTTATCTGTCTTATTTATTGATATTATTGCTGTGTTTTTGAATCTTTTGCCAGTGATTTTCCATACCAGTTTATCCGTAAATGTTTGCCTTCAGTCCACATCACGCAATGTYCASATTRAGTTGTTCAACGAGACCAACATGGCCGCCCATCGCACTTGATCGCATTTGAAACTTGCTTGATTGATTAAAAACCAAAACTCACTTCAAATCTCTCACGCTTTTTGCTTCTTTCCATTGATCACTTCCTACACTATAAATTCAGACACTTCAGCTATTTTAAAAATTCAAAGCGCTACGTGCAGATTGAAAGACGTTATTGAGAGCTTAATAAACGATTCTCTTTTATAAAGCTCTTGTCATGTTACTTTTCTTTGAGTCTTAATCTGTCCGTTTTATGGTCCAGAGATTTCGAGAGCATTTTGACCACCGTTACTCTTGATCCAGCGGTTTTCTTTTCATTTCTAGGCGGACATATTTTTCGTTTTCTCTTTTTCGCTTTGTTTGTTTGTTTGTTTGTTGTTTTGTTGTTGTTGTTGTTTTTGCTTTAAACTATCAAAAAGGAAAAGCAAAATTACAAAGAATATACAGAGAAAACCTCATGAACCAGGGTAGACCATCGCGAATGTCATCAAATAGCTAATAAATTCATAGTCTTTTTACGTCTTCGACATTACAATTACATAATCAATAACCGATTAAAATCGAAACTAATCTTTATTCTAGTTTTAATTTTCACCGATACATGTCGATACTGACATGACATCTGGTATGAACGATTGTTCGAGTGGTTTATCGTACCGATTCCTTTCGATTTACAACAGTAATCGCCTGAATAACTTTACCGATTTTTCCAGGGTATCATTAACTGATAAGCTTCAATTAATTTTATCGATTATTTCCCGAGGATCGATATTCTACGAGTGGAGTCGAGAAAATTACAGGAAAACGGCTTTTTAACTTGTCGAAAACAACAAAACGTTTCCTAAATATGACGAAGACATCCATCACTTATATTGGCTCTGTATCCTCACCTCCTGTGAGCACAAATAATCTCCTAAAAAAAAAACACAAAGATACCACATCACAACTCTATAAGTTGGGCTCCATTAGACATTCGCAAAGTCCGTTTCTCGCTCGTTCTGTATCATCGCCCTTCGCGCTCAATATTCACCCATTCCTGGGAGCGAAAGAGAGTCTGACTTGGGCAAGTCTAGGCTCCATGAACTGAAAGAACAAAAATGGCGAACCCAATTTGTAAAACTCGATCGTCGTATAACATCAGCGAGTACAGCCCTGATGTTCTAACTCCGGTAGTTGTATTACACTTTGCCACCGCCTTTTCTACAGTCTTTCTCAATCTCTGTGTRARTATTTCAATCATAAAGACACGCGCACTTCAAACGCCATCGAGGATTCTTCTCTGCTCGCTTTCTTTAACGGATCTWTTGCTGGGTCTCATTGCRCAACCAGCMGCGGCTTTCTACTACATKTCAGCCTTCAACATCTGGAATGAAAGTTTCTGTATTTCTTGGGTTGTTTTSTCAAGAGTTGGGTTCACGATTGGTGTGGTGGCGTTGCTGAATCTCACAGCGATGAGTATCGACCGTTGCCTTGCAGTGAAAACCCTCAACAAGTACAAAACTATAGRGACAAAGWCAAACACCATCATAGTCGCTTCGACCCTTTGGATACTGGGAATAGCAGGTGTCGGTATTATCATGAACACCGTCCCGTCTGACCTTTTATTCATCATTGCCAGTGAGTTTGGAACTRTGATGTTGATAARGATGTTAATTTCTTTCGCGCTTGCGTTTCGATCATTGAAGAAAATTTCATCTCGAATTTTCGCCCGTAACTTGACCCATCGYGGAAACCCATCCTTCGAGTTCAACATCTCMAAGTATCGACATTCTCTTCATTCAATGGCGCTGATTTTCGCTTTAAACATGTTGGTTTACCTGCCTACTATTTGCTTTATKACTGTTCAGTATTTACATCCAGTTCCAAGGAGACATAGTCTTGTGTTTTTTCAGTACGATGGAGTGTTTTTGGCGATAAATTCAACCGTAAATCCTTTGTTTTACATGTGGCGAATGAAAGATTTGCGTAAAGCAGTAAGAAYGTTGTTTTCAACGTAAACTCGGATAAAAGTAATAATAGACCATAATAGCGTTTCTTATGATAGATTTAAGATGTGCGTAAACAAATTGCGTCCATTGTGTACATTCGAACGCATTATTTACGTAACTGAAGTAGTATTGAACTACTAACTACTAACAACGTAAGATTGGACGTTCAACAGCACTGAAGGAAGTGTATAAGGACGCAGTAAAAACGTACAAGAACGTACAAGACCATAAGAAAATACGTACTCATAATCAGAAATGACAACAGAGAATGTATAAGTCCAAGAAAATGTTTAGTTACAGTGCTCAGGTCAGACTTGAAAAAACTCTATAAAAGCCTTGTTATTGTTGAGCGCAAAACTTTACGTATAAAAACGCAATATTTACGTAAAAATCAAAACTACAGTGAAGAACGCGTAAAAGATCCAGGATTTACGTAGGACAAAAGTATAGATGTAAATAAATTTACAATTCCTTTAAATGTATAGCGTCAAATTTGCTCATAGTTTCTCCATTTACATCAGTAAATTATAACTCACCGTTACTGTCAATTGCCGCGGAGATCGCCATTCCCGCGTTGCTACATATGACGTCTARATACGGTCGTACCAAGTCCTCCTCGACATTAACATTGTCAAGAATGWTTCGTGCGATGTGAGAGAGACTGGTCACCACTTCCGATAAGGTGAAACCTGAAAAAAAAGTTCTGTAAATCAAATACTATTACAAGAGCTGTTACGTTTACGTAAGCTAAAGGATACCGAGACGTATCCTTACGCGCATGTGAATATAAGAGAAACGGAGATGAAAAAACAAATTAAAAAACAATGAAAAACAAATTAAAAACTTAAGTTCTACCCCCTTCAGCGCTTCCTTGCGACTCCCTCCCTAGTAAAGCTCTAAACCACGAAAGGCCATTATGTAATGTGTGCTTGTCCGGCCAACGAAGGGGGGAGGGGATGGGGGTGTACTTCGATGAGTAAGTGAAATGGATATATACTAAAACATATACTAAAATATACTAAAACGGTTTACTCACTTTTGATCTCATCCTGTTTCTTGTCTTCCGATTTCAATACAAAACACATGTTCAACACAGGGTGACCAAAGAAAGTTCTAGAAAAGTCACGCAGCTTGTCACGGTTGACATAGGGAGTTTCAGTTTCAGTCGATTTCTCTTCAGTGGCTTCGTGGATGTGGTTATGTGATGATTTTTCAACGTGACATAACTTGCTTATCATCGCCTCTACCAACTTGAAAACTAATGGTAAAGCAGTCT